ATAGAAGGATTCACTTGGCACATACTTGGTACAGAATATTTTTTTCTTCCCTTTATTATAAATGTTGCAGCTGTCATAAAGGCTGCTGGACCTTCCTGGAGTGCCGGTCTTACTTGGCAGTTTTGTCTAGTCCGAGGCTCTTACATTTAAATAAGTCAGGTAGGCTAAGGGTGATAGGAGTGGCAGGGATTGAGACATACTAGAAAGTATGTGTTCGATCAGTGGAGGCAAGTGTTATTCACTTCCAGCCAATTGCTGCCATACAACGACACCCCCATGTTGCCAAATTTTCCAGTTTTTTTAAAGTCAGAAATTTGTATTGTTGTGTAAAATTTTCCACTAAGAAAGCTGCTACACCAGTATCGGAGGTTCAAATTTTTTTTTAGAGGAGTCATGTATGTTTTACTTTTGTAAGAGCTGAATTTTTTTATAATTTGGTTAGGATGCAGAGACACACATGAGCACTAAAAATGGTAGTTTATGAGGATATCCGTAATGATGGCTTAAGTTAGTAGAGGCAGCAAGGATTTCAAAAGGAGAGAGAACAAAAGTGAAGAATAGAGGCCAATGAAAAAACTCTAAGATAAAGGGGAAGTGTAGGAAACTAATCACTGGGCTAAATAGAGCTTTCACTAAATCTGTTCTCTTAGAAAAGTGGCTGTTCACAGGATATAGGCTAAGGAGTTGTGATGCTTTGCCATTGTGGCATCCATGTGACTGGATGACACTCGGTTTTTGGAGTTCAGGAAAATGTTTCTGCTGAGTTGCTTTGCTCATTGGGGAACCTGCTGATTTGTGGAGGTATTTTCTAGAAACTCCCTTTGCCTGCGATCCTCATCATTATTGACCAAGGTCCATAACACAAGGTCTGAAAAAGATTTTTCCCCCCATAAAACCCCAAGGTTTTGAGTACACCATAGGTTCATAGGGAATGTGTGAAGAATTTCCTGGAAGATGGCACCATCTTGAGGAAAGAGAAGCATTTGCTAATTTTTATGACTGTTTCTTCAACACCTATCACGCACCAGGTGTGGTTGTAACATTCACTGGCGAATAGGTAAGAAATAAAAGCTGTCGTGTCTAGGTTTTCAGAAATGTATAATTAGCTTCCAAAGAAAACTGAGCCAGCCACAGGGGAGTACATTTGAGGAAGTTGCAAAATATGAAGGAGGAAGGGAGAGAAAAATCAGAGAAGGGAACAAGCATTCTGACTTTTGACTGAGAGTTTCTCTGCCAATATCTCCTCACACAGAAAGTCTTATTTTCTTTCATACTCTTGCAATCTAATATTGCAAAAACAAAGTGAGATTTCTTTTTAAAAATATCTCAACAAAGTCTAGGCCTTATTAGCTTTTGCCAATCACTGCAAAAACTTAATAGGACCTTTAAATAACAAACCTCAAAATGTGTGGTCAATTGGGACTACTTTACCTAAGATCAGAAGTGGACATCTACAAAAAATGAATTTTTATAAATAACCAAAAAGACCAGGGTGACGGGCATATGGATGGTACAGTCGATTAAGCATTTAACTTTGGCTCAGGACATGATCTCATGGTTTGGTTCATGGGTTCTGGCCCACAAGGCACGCCGTGTTAGCACAGAACCCACTTCAGATCCCATTTCCCTCTTTGCCCCTTTCCTGCTCATGTGCATGCCATCTAAAAAATAAACAGACATTAAAAAAAATAACTAGGGTGATATCACCAAGATGGTGACATAGTTCATTCCTGACTTTATCCCCCCCAAACAAGAACTGTTTATAAAGACACCATTGAGAAAATCCTAGAACACAGGGGTAAGGCTGAAGCACCCCTTTGTACTACAGAAACCAAGTTAGACGTAAAATGGCTAAATGCTGATTATATTGCCCTTCCTGCAGGCAAGGGTAGGTCTCTGTGGACCCAGGGGAGACAGTTGGAGGTCTACTCCTGAGCCCATGGTTCCTCTAGTGGGAAGAGAGCCCACGATGGACACATCCAGCTCCCAGAGCATTGTGGGTTATTTCTTGGGAAACTCACTCTGGCCTTACTCCATAGGCATTCAGGGAAATCTGTGGACTTTATCACTGGGAATCTGATTGTGATGGGGGGTGGGGAGAGACTCAAATCTTGGCAGACCAAATTTCTATCTGCAATGACTAAATAATAGTCCCAGCCAGTGTCTTTGATCATCTGCAGAACCAACTTGGTGGTATAGTCTTATCAGGGAACTTGGTAGGATATAGGTCTGCCTTATTTGGGTCTTCAAACAAAACATTTTGCCAGCTCTGGAGTCTATTCTGCCCCAAGTAAGGTAGGGGATCTTAGTCATAGCCCAAGCCCACTGCTGACTGTAGCTTTCTGCCCCACCTAAACTAAAAGGCTGGCCAGAATACCTGGAAGCTGCATAGCCCAGCAATGTTTGGGGTGAATATGGCAGGCAGAACTGATCATCCACAGAGCAAAGATAGTTGGCCCTATGTGTCCAGGAACATGGGTCAGCTCAAGTCAGGACTGCAGAGAAGAAAAAATAAAAAAATAAAAAGGCTTGTAGGACTTGGAGCTGGTTCTCCTGCTCTTCCCAGGCAAGGAAGTGAATCCATAGCCTCACTCATTACTGAATGACACCTTCAGCTTGCCTGTCCAGGGAATCTAATGAAAGGACATCCAATGGCCCTGCTTGTAGTGGCATCTGAACAGAGATTATAGGTTGTGGTTTTCTCCATCTGTGGAACAGAACTTCATGACTTGTCCAGCCAGGGAATTCCGTGTGCATAGTCTTGGTTAAATTCAGGTCCCTAAACAGCGAGCCATGCAGGCCTTGGGGCCTGTTCTGCTGTCCCAACAGGTCAGAAAAGCTAATTCATAGCCCCAACTACTACTCAGTATAGCACCTGGTCCTGAGCATGTAATAAGCCTGAGTAGAGAATGCTGGAAACCATGGAGCTCATCATACAGCCTCACTTGGGCAGGAAACCAAGCCAGTCCAATTCTTAGCCAGTGGTACCTCTCCTAACTTCAGAGTTCAATCAGTGGCTTTGCTCAAAATAGACCATAATAGCAAAGCCTATCTGTCCAGGGAGGTTATAGGTGGACATGTTTATAAGCCCAAACTGAACTGGCTGGTAAAGAATGGTCTCTGAAAAAAAAAAAAAAAAAAAAAAAAAAATATATATATATATATATATATATATATGTATGTATGTATGTTCTGGAAGAAGAGATCATGCCATCAGAGGTGTAAATACTAATGTAGTAATGTAAGAAATCAAGGATCACACAAAAAAATTCAGGTAAACAGGCCAAGGAAATGAATAAACCTTCAATAACCATAAAGAAACAGGTTTATGAACTTCAAACAATTCAGAATAATTCTCAAGTTCAGTGACTAAGAACACAGATAACTAAGTGAAATTAGCAGAACAATGTATAAAAGAGAAATAGAAATCATCAAAAAAAAAAAAAAAAGACCAAATGGAACTATTAGAGCTAAAAAAAAAAAAATCTAATAACCAAGTTGAAGAACATGGGAGAGCTTCAAAAGTGAATCAACCGAATAGAGTGGGGGAAGGGGAGAAGTCAGTGTCCTGTAAAAAAAAAAAAAAAGTGGACATTTGAAGTTATTCAGGCAGAGCAGTAGAAAGAAAAATGAAAAAGTGAATAAAGCTTATGGGAATTATAAAGACACAGTAGAAAGAAACAATATATGTATTATGGAAGTTGCAGAAGGAAAAAAAAACAAAGTATATTTTAAGCAATAATGGCTAAAATTTTCCCAAACCTGGGAGAGAAAGGGATATCTGGATCCATGGGGCCCCAAAAGACTCCAAATAGGTTGGAACCAATAGGGCTACAGATTATAATTGTCAACAAAGACAAAAACATTTTGTTTTCAATACACAAAGAGCATAAAAGTTCTATAGAAAAACCCTTCATTAAACTATCAGATTTCTCAAACACTTCAGGCCAGGAGAGAATGGGAAGATATATTCAAAACGTGGAAAGAAAAAGTTGTCAACAAAGAAGCCCATACCAGGCAAAGTTGTCCTTCAGAAGTGGAGAAAGGAAGACTTTCTTGAACACTGCGAGAGTTCAACATTAGACCTGTCTTATACCAAATGCCAAAGGAAATTCTTTGGGTGGAAATAAAAGGGATTTAATTAATAGGATAAAAACCTAAGTAGTGCCAAAAATCACTGATAATAAATATATAGCCAAAGTTAGATTCAGTAATATAGTGTGTGATTCACTTACAACACTAGTAATAAAAGTTAAATCATAAAAAAACCTAATAATTAGACTGTTATTGAATAAACCATATAGAAGTATGTAAACTAACTTCAATAAGCTAAAATGTGAAGGGGAGAAATAAAAGTTTAGGACTACTACTGAAGTTGTAGTAAATTGTTACAAGTTTAAAATAGGGTATTATAACTAAAAATATTTTATGTAAGCCTCAAGGTGACCACGAAGGAAAAATAAACTGTAGAAATTCTACAAAAAAATGAAAAATTTTATTTTTAGAGAGCATGTGCGTGCAAGGGAGAGGGGCAGATGGAGAGAGAGAGAGAGAGAGAGAGAGAGAGAGAGAAAGCATCTCAAGCAGGCTTCACACTCAGAATGGAGCCTGGCACAGGGCTTAATCTCACCACCGTATCATCATGAACTGAGCCAAAAATCAAAAGTCAGCCATGCAACTAACTGAGTCACCTAGTTAAAATTTAATAAAGTTATATTTAAGTAGTTCAAGAAATTATAGAGAAAAGACGTTATAGCATCAAAGCATACTACCAAACGATAACAAAGACTACAGGATAAGAAATAAGGAAAAAATGGATCTACAGACAGCAAGAAAACAAAATGGCAATAGTAAGTCCTTACCAATAACTACTTTAAGTGTAAATGAACTAAATTCTCCAAATAAGAGACCTAGTATGGCTGAATGAATTAAAAGAACACCACCACAAATCCCCTAATATGCTGCCTGTAAGAAATTCACTTTAGCCTTAAACACAGATTGTTCTCACTTCAGCAGCACATATACTAAAATTGCAACGATACAGGAAGATTAGCATCGCCCCTGCACAAGAATGACAAATTCATGAAGCGTTCCATATTTTTAAGAATATTAGCTGAAGTTAAAAATAGAATCCCTTTCTATGGGAGGTAAAAAGTAAAAGCTAGTCAGAATGAAATAATGTTGTAACTGAGCTACAATCTCCAATGAATGCCACAGTGGCAAGGATGGATGAGGCAGAACAGGGAATCGGCAATATAGAGGAGAAACTTCTGGAGAATAATGAAGCAGAAAAAGAGGGAGACTAAGGCAAAAGAGCACAATTTAAGAATTAGACAAATCAGTGACTCATTTAAAAGGAACATCAGAATCATAGGAGTCCCAGAAGATGGAGAAAAAGTGGTAGATGGGTTATGTGAGCAAATCAGAGGAAAAGTTTCCTAACCTGAGGGAAGACACAGACATCAAAATCCAGGAATCAGAGGGCTCCTAGGAGATTCAACAAAAACCGACCACTGACAAGACATATCATAGTTAAATTCACAAAATACTCAGGCAAGGAGAGAATCATGAAAGCAGCAAGGGAAAAAAAAGAGTCCCTAATATAGAAGGGAAGACAGATCAGGTCTGCAGCAGACCTATCCACAGAAACTTGGCAGGCCAGAAAGGAGTGGCAGGATATATTCAGTGTGCTGAATCAGAAAAGTGTGCAGCCAAGAATTCTTTATCCAGCAAGGCTGTCATTCAGAATAGGAGAGATTAAAAGTTTCCCGTAAAGCAGTTTGTGACTACTAAACCAGCCCTTCAAGAAATTTTAAGGGGGACTCTCCAAGAGGAGAAAAAGATAAACAAATAATACATACCAAAAGCAACAAAGACTAGAAAGGACCAGAGACCACCACCAGGAACTCCAACTCTACAAGTAACATAATAGCAATAAATTCTTATCTTTCAGTACTCTCTAAACGTCAATGGACTAAATGCTCCAATCAAATGACATAGGGTAACAGGATGAATGAGAAAATAAGAGCCATCTATATGCCATTTACATGAGACCCACTTTAGATTAGAAGACTCTTCAGATTGAAAGTGAAGGGATGGAGAACCATCTAACATGCTAATGGTCAACAAAAGAAGGCTGGAGTCATCATACTTAGACAATATAGAATTTTAAAGACTGTAATGAGATGAAGGGCATTATATCATAATTAAGGGGTCTATCCACCAAGAAGACCTAACAATTGTAAACATTCATGTTCCAAATGTGAGAGAACCCAATTAGTCACAAATAATCTCATTGACAGGAATACTCTAGTAGTAGGGGACTTCAATACCCCACTTAGAACAATGGACAGATCATCCATTCAAAAATTCAACAAGGAAACAATGGCTGTGAAGGACACACTGGACCAGATGAACTTAACATATATTCAGAACATATCACCCTAAAACAGTGGAATATACATTTTTTCTCCAGTGCACATGGGATGTACTACTCCACAATAGACCACATACTGGGACACAAATCAGCCCTCAACAAGTACAAAAAGATCGAGATCATACTGTGCATATTTTCAGACCACAACACTAGGAAACTCGGAATCAACCACAAGAAAAAATTTGGAAAGGTAAGAAATACTTGGAGACTGAAGAACATCCTACTAAAGAATGAATGGGCTAACCAAGAAGTTAAAGAGGAAATTAAAAAGTACATGGAAGCCAATGAAAATAACACCACAACCCAAAACCTGAGAGGCAGCAAAGGCCGTCATAAGAGGCAAGCATATAGCAATCCAGGCCTTCCTAAAGAAGGAAGAAAGATCTCAGATACACAACCTAACCTTACACCTTAAGGAGCTGGAAAAAGGACAGCAAATAAAACCCCAAATCTGAAGACAGAAAATAAGATTAGACCAGAAATTAATGCTATCAAAACAAACAAAACCAGATCAATAAAACCAGAAGCTGGTTCTTTGAAAGAATTAACAAAATTGATAAGCCACTAGCCAGTTTGATAAAAAAGAGAAAAGGACCCAAATAAATGAAAGGAGAGATCACAACCAACACAGCAGAAATACAAACAGTAAGAGATTATGAACAATTATACACCAATAAAATGGGCAATCTGGAAGAAATGGACAAATTCCTAGAAACATGTAAACTACCAAAACTGAACAGGAAGGAATAGAAAGTTTGAACACCTCTATAAACCAGTAAAGGAATCGAATTAGTAATAAAAAATCTCCCAAAAAACAAGTGTCCAGGGCCAGATGGCTTTCCAAGGGAATTCTACCAAACATTTAAGAGTTAACCCCTATTCTCTTGAAGCTGTTCCACAAAATAGAAGTGGAAGGAAAACTTCCAAACTCTTTCTATGAGGCCAACATTACCTTGTTCCAAAACCAGACAGAGACCCCACTAAAAAGGAGAACTATAGACCAATTTTCCTGATGAACATGGATGCAAAAATCCTCAAGATATTAGCCAACAAGACCCAACAATACATTAAAAACATTATCTACCACAACCAAGTCGGATTTATACCTGGGATGCAGGACTGGTTCAATATCTGCAGAACAGTCAATGTGGAGGGGGTGGGGAAAAGAAAAAAGAAAAGAACAGTCAATGTGATTCATCATATAAATAGAAGGACAAGAACCATATGATCCTTTCAGTAGATGCAGAGAAAGCATTTGACAAAATAAAACATCCTTTGATAAGAACCCTCAAGAAAGTAGGAATAGAAGGATCATACCTTGAGATCACAAAAGCCATATACAAAAGACCTAATGCTAATATCTTCAATGGGGAAAAACAGCTTTCTGCCTAAGTTCAGAAGGCAGGGATGTCCACTTTTGCCACTACTATTCAACATAGTATTGGAAGTCTTAGCCTCAGCAATCAGACAACACAAAGAAATAGGAGGTGGTCAAACTTTCACTCTTCCCGGATGACATGATACTCTATATGGAAAACCCAAAAGATTCCACCAAAAAACTGCTAGGATTCATGAATTCAGCAAAGTTGCAGGATATAAAAATCAGAGCACAGAAATCAGTTGCATTCCTATACACCAACAATGAAGCAACAAAGAAATCAAGGAATCAATCCCATTTATAATTGCACCAAAAACCTAAAATACCTAGGAATCAACCTAACCAAAGAGGTGAAAAATCTATACACTGAAGACCATAAGAAGCTTAAGAAATTGAAGACAAAAAGTGGAAAAAAGATTCTGTGCATCTGGATAGGAACAAATATTGTTAAAATGTCGATACTACCCAAAGCAATCTACATATTCAATGCAATCCCTATCAAAATAACACCAGCATTCTTCACAGAGCTAGAACAAATAATTCTAAATTTTGTGTGGAACTGGAAAAGACCCCGAATAGCCAAAGCAAGCTTGAAAAAGAGAACCAAAGCAGGAGGCATCACAATCCCGGACTTCAGGCTGTACTACAAAAGCTATAATCAAGACAGTATGGTACCGGCACAAGAACAGACACCCAGATCAATGGAACAGCATAGAGAACCCAGAAATGGGCCCACAAACATATGGCCAACTAATCTTTGACAAAGCAGGAAAGAATTTCCAATGGAATAGAAACGGTCTCCTCAGCAAGTGGTGCTGGGAAAACTGGACAGCAACATGCAGAAGAATGAACCTGGACCACTTTCTTACACCATACACAAAAATAAACTCAATGGATAAAAGACCTAAATGTAAGACAGGAAGCCATCAAAGTCCCAGAGGACATAGCAGGCAAAACCCTCTTTGATCTTTGCTGCAGCAACTTCTTACTCAACACGTCTCCAGAGGCAAGGGAGACAAAAGCAGAAATGAACTACTGGGACCTCATCAAAATAAAAAGCTTCTGCACAGTGAAGGAAACAATCAGCAAAACTAAAAGGCAACCAACGGAATGGGAAAAGATATTTTGCAAATGACATGGTCAGAGAAAGGTTTAGTATCCAAAGTCTATAAAGAACTTATCAAACTCAACACCCCAAAAAGAAATAATCCAGTGAGGAAATGGGCAGAAGACATGAATAGTCACTTCTCCAAAGAAGACTTCCAGATGGCCAACTGACACATGAAAAAAATGCTCAACATCACTCATCATCAGGGAAATACAAGGAAGAACCACAACGGAGATACCACCTCACACCTGTCAGAATGGCTAACATTAACTCAGGCAACAACAGATATTGGCAAAGATGTGGAGAAAGACAATTTCTTTCGCATTGTTGGTGGGAATGCAAGCTTGTGCAGCCGCTCTGGATAACAGTATGGAGGTTCCTCACAAAATTAAAAATAGAACTATTCTACGACCCAGCAATTGCACCACTAGGTATTTATCCAAGGGATACAGGTGTGCTGTTTTGGAGGGACATATGCATCCCAATGTTTATAGCAGTACTACCAACAGTAGGAGAAGTATTGTAAGAGCCCAAATGTCCATTGATGGATGAATGGATAAAGATGTGGCACATGCACACACACGGAGTATTACTTGGCAATCAAAAAGAATGCAATCTTGCCATTTGCAACTATGTGGCTGGAACTAGAGGGTATTTATGCTAAGTGAAATTAGACAAGGACAAATGTCATCACTTCACTCATATGAGGACTTTAAGACACAAAACAGACGAACACAAGGGAAAAGAAGCAAAAGTATAAAGACTGAGAGGGACAAAACGTAAGAGACTTTTAAATATGGAGAACAAACAGGGTTACTGGAAGGGTTGTGGGAGGAGGGATGGGCTAAAATGGGTAAGGGGCATTAAGGAATCTACCCCTGAAATCATTGTAGCATTATAAGCTAACTGGAATGTAAATTAAAAACATAAGAAAAAATAGGAAAAAAAAGACACTTTGAGGATGATGGGATGGGTAAGATATTTTAAGCAAATTGTAACCAAAATAAAACAGAGGTAAGCTGTATTTATACAGACAAAATGGAGTTTACGCTAAAAATATTAAGGGACAAAGAAGATCTTTATATAATGAAGTTGTCGATCAAGATATAATGATTGCAAATATATATTCATAGAATATCAGAGCACCCAAATTATACTAGGTAAAATAAGGGAGACAGAA